GCAGCAGCAGCAGCAGCAGCAGCAGTATTAGTAGTGCATCGTGTAGCCTACTAATTATTGCATCGTATAACGCATTTTCTCTGAGAGACCGTTGAATTCATTTATTATTCATATTTTAAAAATATGCACACGTCCGCTTTGAAGTACTTAATATAAAAATAATATCAACCACCAAGCCGATTGGCGTGGTAACTTCGTGCACTGAACGTTAATTCAAACCCACATGATTGATAGTTTTGGCCTGCCTTTTGTTGTTGGTTTTTGTTGGGTTTTTGTTTTGTTTTTGTTTGGGGGGGGGTTGTTTTTGTTCGTTTTTGTCTGCTTGTGTGTGTGTTGTTGTGTTGGGGTTTTCTTTGTTTTTTCTGTTGTTTTTGTTGTTTGTTTGTTGTTGTTGTTTGGGGGGCGGGGGTGTTCCTCTTCAGCACTGAATTTTGATTAAACTTTTCCTTCACGTTGTTTTTCAAAAAGAAAAAAAGGAGAGGGGGGGGGGGTTCTTTTGTTCCCTACCTATTATTTTATTATAACATAGCGGATCTTGAAGCATAGGCAACCTTGAATTGACACATGTTTCTCGTTGAATGCAACCAATTAGCCTAGCCAAACTTTAAACAAAGATCAAAACAACTTTGAATCTCTCTCCGTCCCGCTAGACATAAGAGTAAGACCACACAGTGAACGGTATACAAGATCATTACTGAGTGGTGACGTAAGTATAATCGATCAGAAGCATACAGTACTGCTACAGTAGGGCGGTTACTAATGGGTAATTTTCATACATGTGTAATTGTGCTTCTTTGTGTGTGTGTGTGTGTGGTCATGTGGCAATGAGACAGACAGACACACAGTCAGACAGACAGACAGACAGATCACACACAAACATACACACACACACACACACACACACACACACACACACACACACATAAACACAGGTGTATGATATGAGCGAGAGCCTAACTGCGTGAGACAGACTGAAATGAGAATACGTGTGCCAGTGAGTGCACGTGTGTGTGTGTGTGTGTATGTGTGTGT